CTATAGGAAGAGCAGAACAAAGAGTAGCACAGTCATCTTACTAGTTCTATACACTGTCTATGAATGGAGGAGCAATCAGGCTTGTTATATATAATGTAGTCCTGCTAGCAGCAAGCAACCTTCATTGCCTATCTTTATGTGTCTTTAGGCTGCCATAATAAGCTTGCTAGTTAGACAATATGCTCTTTCCCATAGTCTTAATCAGAATGATTTCAAAGCCTCCAAAGGAGAATAAGACAGGAAAGTGTCAACGCTTATGTTTTATAAGTCAGAATACACTCCAGATGGGAACAGACTCACTTTTGGGCTCCCACAATATGTGGAGCAGATGCAACTAAGGAGCACAGTTTTACAATGTTTTCTTTATATTACAATAGCAAAAAATGGATTCCATTATTTTAATATATCCCTGCAATCTTTCTCTGTGATTACTTTTTTCTTGGTCTTAATTAAAATAGGTGCTATTTATGGGGTCTCAACAGTTATGAGGGGTTAAATTCAGATTAGTAATTGTTTGATCATGGAGTTCTTGCTACTTGTGAAGAACCAAAGTATCTCACACCCATAATATGCATCATGGAGTCTTGGAGTAGAAGAAAACCTGGTAGTGAAATTCCTAATCATCTGTAGGATACCAGAAGCATAGGTCTGAAATTTTGTCTTTGGCTAATAGGTAAATCATTTTTTGCTGAGGCCAGGACACTAAACTGACCTTGTGTCCTATGTTTTCTTAACACACTGGAAACTATAACTTTAACAAAGGAGTGTGAGAATAAACACTGTCTGTCTCAAGGTGGAAAACAGAAGAAGCCCTACAGTATCTCTCTAGTTTTGACATGGTCAACAGTAAAGTTGTCGTCAGACAGGTAAACTTCTCTACAACTTCTCTGTGTTTCCAGATGCTGTTTATTTGGAAACAATCGATCTGGAATCCTGATGTAAATCATGTGATTTGAAGACGTGGCTTGGATGTATATATGCTCATAAAAAGGTTATTGACAGTGAAGTTGAAAGAATTCTAGGATGACACTTTCTGCAGACTATGAGGTTTATTCATGCCCAACTGTATTGCTCATGCTGTTACTTAAGGGAATGGATTTCATAGGGATGAAAATTCAATTCAAATATTCTCCAGCTTCAGGCATGTGGGAAAAGTCTCAAAAACTCAAGAGCATTTGAACAAAAGCAGAATGCTTCATTCCAAACAACTCCCTGGAGTGAAGGCCATTTCCCTCTAATTAGAGATACATCATTTACAGTGGTGTAAAATCTTGCTTGCTTGCCCACCCACCTTTTCAATTTTCAAAAGTCTGTGACACTTTAATTGAGTTATTTATGCTGTGGTGATCCTAACAGTGAAATACTTTTTGTTGCTACTTCATAATTGTAATTTTGCTGTTATTTATTGTAATTTAAATATCTAATATGCAGATGATTTCAGCTGACCACGGTGAAAGGTTCATTCAGTCAGCAAAGGGATTGGTCCTCACAGGTTGGGAAGTCCTGTGTTAGAGTATACCATGAAAATGTAATCTAGATTTTGATTCAAAGCCTTCAAGAGATTCCTTGATTTGTTCCATGTATGGCATCTCTATCTTCCAATATCATTGAATTTGGGGGACTCATTTCATAAAGATTCCCATAACAAATTCACCTGAATAAGAGATAAGAGTATTCAGTTACCACTTATATTCTGTGATCTGTCTCCATCCGTGTTTGTATTTTATAACCTCCATGTATATAGTATTATTCATGGATTCCCTCCTTTAGAGTGAGTCTCATATCTTATCTGAAAATATTTGATCATATGACAATAGTCCCACTGCTGTGCAAGTGGGCATATCTTTCTTGTCATTTTAGATTAGTAGATGTAGGATTCTTGAAAATGTAAGACCATCAGTGATTTCTTTTTCCCAGAAAATATCAAATTATTTTCCAGCAGAAAAAAGCATCTAGATTGCATCCACTTTGATTCCTCTATTGTGTATCCAAAGTACATTGTGTCCTAGTTAATATTATCCCATAATCCTGTCCTGTTGGGCAAACAAGACAAATAAGAGGATTCTCTAATAGTTGTGCAATCTCATGATTATCAATGACCAGTAACTAATGATAAGTTTCTGTCTGTTATTTGGCATTTGATCAATAATTCAGTTCTGATAATAGTTTTTTCTAGCCACATGTAGTACAGCAATATTTTGCTTTTGTTTTAATATAAGATAGCAGGTTTCTATGTGATTCCTTGATATCTATAAATCTTTTTATTGGCTTATTTCAATATGCTTTTGAGTTCCTTATGATTTCTAAATTCTAATATTCTGTCTGATGTATTGTTGGCATATGCCATTTTTTTTCTGTAGACTGACCATTCATTCAATCGTTTTTTTTTGCTGTAAAGAAGCTTTTTAATTTCAGGAGGTCCTTATTACCAATTGTTGATCTTATGTCTTGAATAAATACTTCCTTTGTGACTGGTCTATCGCTATGAAGAGACACCATGACTGAGGCAATGCTTATAAAAAACATCTAATTGTGGGCTTGCTTACAGATTCAGATGGTTATTAGATTATCCTCATGGCAAAGAGCATGTTGGCAAGTGTGGCACTTAGAACTTTACATCCTGACCCAGTAGCAGATTGGAGAATTTGTTTTACCATGTTTGGCCTTTTGCATATGCAAAGCCTATCCCTAATTACAAACCCAATCAATCAAGGCCACAACAATTTAGCAAAGTCTCTTCATGGAAGATGTCTTTCTGTGTATATGTTTGTCTTATCCATTGATGAATATAGCACTGATTGGACTATTGGCCAGGCAGGAAGTATAGGCAAGGCTAGGAGACAAGGAAAATGCTAGGAAGCATGGGCAGACAGAATCATCCTGTAGAGACCTGGAAGAGAGGACACACCAGGTGTTTCTGGTAATCCAAGACAATGTGGAAATATATAGATTACAAGAAATGGGTTCATTTTTAAGACATAGCGAGCCAATAAGAAGCCCAAGTAACTGGCCAATCATTTTAAAACTAATACACTATTCATCTGTTTATTGGGGTTGAGGTGACGGGAAGGAAAGAAAATAACAGCAACAGTCTCTGATACAGCATTTACCATATCTTCCACATTTTTCCATTTCAGGGTTTATATTGAGATATTTGAACAATTAAGTGATAATGGTTGATATATAATGGTCTAGTTTCATGTTCTATATGTGTACATCATTATTTCTCATAAAATTTTGTTAATGATGCTGACTTTACTTTTGTGTTCACCAGTTTGTGGGTTTGCATGTTTCATTGTTGGCCACATAGTTTACTCTAGTTGCTTTGCCAAAATCTGAATATTCCTATCTACATAAGTAATCTGTAAATTCATCTGTGCTAATACAATAATGTTTATTCTACTTTTATGGTTTGACAAGATTAATTATTGTAGTTCCCCGAGATTTACTCATTGTAATTAGTTTCCAAATGAATTGTAAGACTTTTTCTGTCTGAAATGATGTTGATCTGGTTTGCATTGTATCTGTCAAATAGGTTTTGATTGGATGATTATTTTCTCAATATCATTTCTACAAAGCCATGAGTATATGCATATTTTATTTAGTGTCGTTTTTTATTTATTTCTTCAGGATTTAAAAGAAATTTTAAAGGTGAGAGAGATGGATTGACCTCTAAAGATGCTTACCAAATCTGACAATCTGAGGTCAAGTACTATGACCCAGATAATTAAAGGAGAGAGGTGATTCCAGAATGATGTCCTCAAATTCCAACATGTGTGTCAATCCACATACACACAAATACATAAAATATATAAGCAAAAATTTTTAAATTTCCATTTATTAGTCCTCTGTTGCTTTATTGGTTTCTTTATTAGTGGTTTGTTTCAGTGATTTGTAATGAGAATAGAAAGATAATACTATTTATATCTCTCATGAAATAATTTTTTGGAGAGCAAAGCATTTCAAGCATAAATTGGCAGTACAATTTCAAAGGAAAATAAGATCTATTAGGGAAGAAAAATCAGAAGACAGAGGAGGATGGATAATCTTTTTACTAGGATGACTTAGGCAGGTGTCTCTACTAAGTGATTATCTTGAAGGAGAATAATCAACAAAGAAGATCCTGAGATGAATGAAGTTAGTAGAGACCACAAGAAAAAAATTCTTGGAGACCTCTTTTGAAGGGACTAAGTGGGGATGTCAGCAACACTTTCTTTCAACAAAACAAGAATGCAGAATAAAGAAAACAAGTTTTACTTGAGGTTAGCACTGTAGTATATTTGGATATTGAAGCCATTAACTCACCCAAAGATGCAAATTGCATTGTAAAGGATACATACAGAAACCTGTATGAACTACTGCATGCTATTAGTTGAAACCAACTGGTCAATAAGATTATTTCCTGTGGCTGTTAGAATCAGGGATGCCTGACATAGTCTCTATTCCAACACTGCATCTCTAGTACTCTATGAAAGTAGCTTGTTTACATGGTTCTTCTGACTCAATAGTAATATCATCCACTTCTCAAATCACTGGAAATCCTCAGTTTCTCCACAGATATGAGAAAATATTAACATAACCAAATCACATTGCTGAATACACTCCAATGCACCTATTCCAAATATTCCTTACTCATAAAGGCAGGAACATCTACCAGGCTGAGAAGCTCAACATCCTAGAAGGTGAATAAACCACAAGTGTCTAGAGCCAAAGCTAATGGGAAACTTGTAAGCATACTTTTTCCTCACTTATCCAAACTCAATCAATGCAGCAACATAACATAAAAGCAACAATTCCAGGAGAAACTTTCTTCGGGAAAACCAATCAATGACATTTAAAGAGGTTAAAAAATGTACCAGATTTTCATAAAAATCTTTTAATACAAGTTATGTTAAAAGTAAGAAGCATATATAAACATATAAATACACACGTATATACATACAATATAAATTCACCATTGAAGAAAATCTGAGAGATTCTTCTACATATCATTGAAAACTTTAGCCATATTTAATCTCTAGGATGAAGTATTTGGGCTCTATGTAGTTTATGGGTTTTTGTTCCAGTCTATTGCACTGTGGGCATGCGTTACTACTCCAGTGCTGACAGAAGTAAGTGGCAGCATCCTCAGCCTGCATGCTGCTGATTGTGAGAGAATAGGATGTCCTAGACCCACCGCCTCTGAAGCGAGTTGGGACTCCAGAAGCCAGGTTGAATGTTTCATAAATCAGGAGTTTAGGGGAACCTCCAGGCTTCTGTTGGTACCAGTGCAAATAATTGGTGCTTACACTTGTGCTGGCACTACAGGTGATGGTGACCTTCTCCCCATGAAATGCAGCCTTGAATGCTGGAGACTGGGTAAGAACAATTTCTCCTCTGGACCCTATGATCAGGATAAAAAAGGAAAGAGAGCAAGGTGAGTAGACATGGAGATACACAAATAAATTAACACCATCCAACATTTAGAAGACACAAAATAAAAAGCAATTCACCTTACACATAAAATAATATTAGGTTCTGAACTCAGAGACTGTTTTACCTGTGACACTGATTAGCATGATACTGAATATCTGCACCCAAAAATCCATTGTGTTTTCCTTACTCAGTCTCAGGCTAATTACTACTCTACTGCAAAGCACATTACTTTTAAACAGCTGTGAGATGTTCATGGTTTCTGAGGGTGAAATATGCAAATAAGAAGATATGTCATAGACAGCTCTTGGCTTATATACCCGTGCAGACCTATATTTAGGGCAAAACTGTTTAATTCAGAGGAGTGACTACATATTTAGGGGTATTACACTGACAATGAAGGACATTTCTTTGTTTTTCTTTTCCTCTCTTGTGGTGAATACTTCTGCTTTCCACTGAAGCCTTATTTAATTTGATTTGCTAAGCAAGGCAAGTTGTAGACAACAGTTTTTGGATTATTTTTCACATGATAAAGGTTTGTTGAGATTGATTTCTTAAAATGTACACCGAGAAAATTTAGACGTATTATATGCTTCCTTGATATACTGGAAGCTGCTCATCAGTGACCTTCTTTTACTGTCATGACAACACTAAACAAAGTGAATAAAGACTTGGGGATCTTTCTGGGGGCAAAGTGGGTCAACCATCTAGGGATTTCTTGTATTCTAATGTGACAGTGATTTTAATTCTATGACTGATGATATGAACTAGATGGAAAATGTTTTAAGGATGCCCTGTTCTGGTAAGATGGCCAAAATAAAGTGTTTGGAATTGTCCATTTTGCAAAATGAAGGAAAAAATGCATTCATGATCTTCAAGATATCATTGTTTTTTTCCCACTGAGAAGTACTCCATTGTGTAAATGTATAAAATTTTCTTCATCCACTCTTTGGTTGAGGGTCATCAAGGTTGCTTCTGGTTTCCGGGTATTATAAATAATACTGTTATTAACTCAATTGAACAGATCTCCTTGTGGTATGTTTGGGGTATATGCCTTAGTGTAGAATAGGTGGATATTCAGGTAGACTTATTCCCATTTTTCTGAAACTGTCACACTGACTTCCAATAGGGCTTTAAAATTTTTTCACTCCCACCATCAATGGAGGAGGATTCTCCACATCCTCTCCAGTAGAAACTGCCAATGGTGTTTTTGATTTTAGTCATTATGATATGTATAACATTATATCTCATAGTAGTTCTAAGTGGCATTTCCTTGATGGCTAAGGGTGTTGAGCAATTTCTTAAATGTCTTTCAGCCATTTAAGATTCCTCTATTGAGAATTCCCTGTTTAGTTCTGTAGTCCACCTTTTTAATTGGAGTATTTGATGATTTGTCAACTAGCTTCTTGAGTTCTTTGAATATTTTGGAGATCAGCCCACTTTCAGATTGGGGGTTGGTGAAGACCTTTTCCCATTCTGTGTGCTTTTATTTGGATTTGCTGACTGTGTCCTCTGCCTTACAGATGCTTCTCAGTTTCAGGAGGTCCCATTTATTAATTGTCAATCTCAGTGTCTGTACTTCTGGTCTTATGTTATGGAAGCAGTCTCCTCTACCAGTTCATTTAAGGGTACATTCTAATTTATCTTCTAAGTGGTACAGTGTATCTGGATTTATGCTGAGGTCTTTGATTGATTAGGATTTAAGTTTTGTGCATGGTGATAGATATGGATATCTCTGCAGCCTTCTACATGTCCACATCCGGTTGTGCCAGCATCATTTGTTAAAGATGCTTATTTTTTCCATTGCATATCTTTAGTTTCTTCCTCAAAAATCAGATGACCGTATGAATGTGAGTTAATATCAGGGTTTTCAATTCAATTCCATTGGTCTACCTGTCTACTGTTGTGTCAATTCCAAGCTGTTTTCAAAACTATGGCTCTGTAATAGATCTTAAAGTCAGGGATTGTGATGTCTTTGAAATTTCCTTTATTATACAAGGCTGTGGTTGCTATCCTGGGTTTTTGGTTTTTCCATATAAAGTTGAGTATATTTATTTCAGTGAAGAATTGTGTTGGGGATTACATTGTATATGTAGATTCCTTTGGCAAGATTTCCATTTTTACTCTGTTGATCCTACCTACCCAAGAGTATGGGAGATTTTTTTCATTTTCTGGTATCTTCTTTAAGGACTCAAAGTTATTACTGTACAGGGATTTCATTTATTTGATTAGAAATACTCCAAGACATTTTATGCTTTTTGTGGCCATTGTAAGAGTGATGTTTCTCTGATTTGTATCTCAGCCCATTTATTATCTGTATATAATAGGGCTACATTTTTTTGAGCAAATCTTGTATCCTTTCACTTTGTTGAAGGTATTTATCAGCTGTAGGAGATCTCTAGTAGTATTTTTGGGTCTCTTATGTAAATAATCATATCACTTGCAAATAGTGAAAATTTTAGTTCTTCCTTTCCAATTTATATCCTTGATTTCCTTTTGTTTCCTTATTGCTCTTGCTAGGCCTTCAAATACAATATTGAACAGATATGGAGACAGTGGACAGCCATGTCTTTTTTCAGATTATAGAGGAATCATGTTGAGTTTCTCTCCGTTTAGCTCACTGTTAGCTTTTGGTTTATTGTATATTGCTTTCATCATGTATAAGTATGATCCTGTTATGCCTGATTTCTTAAAATCTTTATTATGAAGGTGTGCTGGATTTTGTCAAAGGCTTTTTCAGCATGTAGTGAGATGATCAAGTGGTTTTTTTTTCAGTTTGTTTATATGGCATATTATATTGATGAATTTTCCTATATTGAACTATCATTGCCTCCCTCATGTGAAACCTACTTGATTATGTTGGATGATTTTTCTTATGAATCCTGGATTCAATTTGTCAGTATTTTGTTGCAAATTTTTGCACCAATGTTCATGAGGGATATTGGTCTGTAGTTCTCTTTCTTACTTGTGTCTTTGTGGGGTTTGTGTATCAAGATAACTGTAGCCTAGTACAAAGAGTTGTGCAATGCTCCTTCTGCTGGTATTGTGTGGAACATTTTGTGAAATAATGGTATTAGATCTTCTTTGAATTTCAGGTAGATTCTGAAGTATAACAATGTGACCCTGGGCTTTTTTTGGTTGGGAGATTTTGATGAGTGCTTCTATTTCATTAGGGGTTATAGGTATGTTCAAACTGCTTATCTGTACTTGACTTAATTTTGGTAAATGATATTTATTCAAAAATTTTCCTTTTCCTTTAGATTTTTAAATTTTGTGGAATACAGGTTTTCAAAATATAACCTGCTGATTCTCTGTATTTCAACATTGTCTGTTGTTATATACCCCTTTTTATTTATGATTTTGTTTATTAGCATGCTTTCTCTCTGATGTTTGGATAAAGGTTTGTCTATATTGTGGGTTTTCTAAAAGAACCAACTATTCGTTTCATTGATTCTTTGCAATGTTTTTCTGGTTTTTACTTTGTTGATTTCATCCCTCAATTTGATTATTTCCTGGTGTCTACTTCTGCTGGGCGACTTTGCTTCTTTTTGTTCTAGAGCTTTCATTTGTGCTGACAATTCTCCAGATTCTTCATGTGGGCACTTAGTGCTATGAGCTTTCTTCTCAGCAATGGTTTCAAAGTGTCGCATAATTTTGCGTATGTTCTGTCTTCATTCTCATTGAATCCCAGGAAGTCTATAATTTCTTTTTTATGTATTTCTTGACTAAGGGATGGTATAATTGCTCATTGTACAATTTCCAGTTTGTAGTGTTTCTGAGATTTGTGATGTTTTTGAATAATAATTCTGAAGCATGGATGTCTGATAAGATATAGTGGGTTATTCCAAACTTTTTATGTGTCTTTGGAAGTTTGTTATGCTGCCAAGTATGTGGTTGATTTTAGAGGAGTTTCCATATGGCAATGAAAAAAGGTGTATACTTTTGTGTTTTCATGGAAAGTTTTATAGGTGTTTGTAAGTCCCAATTTGGTCATTATTCTTTTTGCTCTTTTGATTTTTGCTAAGTTTCTGTCTAGAGATCCTGTCTAGTGGTGAGAGCAGACTAATGTTTCTTTTACTAATGTGGGCACCTTTGTGTTTGATGCATAGATGTTCAGAATTGAAACTTCATCTTGATGGACTTTTCCTGTGATAAATATGAAATGTCCTTCCTCATCTCTTCTGATTGATATTAATTTGAAGTCTAATTTGTTACTTACTAGGATTGTAACACCTGCTTTTTTCTTGGGTCCATTTGATTGGAAAACATTTTTCCAATCATTTTCTCTCTGGCAAAGTCTAACTTTGATGTTGAGATGTGTTTCTTGTATGCAGCAGAAGGACGGATTCTGCCTTATCATCCATTCTGATTACTTGTGTCTTTTTATACACAAGTTGAGACCATTGGCATTGAGGGATATTAATGACCATTGATTGTTGATACTTGTTAGTTTTGGAAATTTTTGGTTGTGTTATTGTGTGTGGATTCCTCCACCCTCCATTTTTTTCTTTTGGTGTTTGCTGAAGTGGTATTATCTATTGACTATGTTTTTTGAGTGTAGTTATCTTTGTTGGGTTGTAGTTTTCTTCCCAGTGCTTTCTGCAGGATGGATTTGTGGATATGTATTGTTTAAATCTGGTTTTGTCATGAAATATCTTGTTTTCTCCACCTATGGCAATTGAAAGCTTTGTGGGTCCAGTAGTCTGGGCTGGCATCCTTGTTCCCTTAGAGATTGTATGACATCTGTCCAGGAACTTTGGCTTTCAGAGGTTCCATTGAGAAGTCGGGTGCAGTTCGGGTAGGTCTGCCTTTCGGGTACTTGGCCTTTTTTTAGCTGCTCTTAATAATTTGTCTTTATTCTGTAGGTTTGATGTTTTTATTATTATGTGGTGAGGGGACTTCTTCTGGTCCAGTCTATTTGGTGTTCTATAAGCTACTTTAACTTTCATATGCTTAACACTCTTCAGGTTAGGAAAGTTATCTTCTATGATTTTGTTGAACATATTTTTCTGTACCTTTGTGCTGCATTTATCCACTTTCTTCTATACCTATTATTCTTAGGTTTCATTTCTTCAAGGTGTCCAATATTTCCTGGATATTTTGTGTTAGGGATTTGTTGGCTTTGATATTTTTCTTTGTTTGATGACTGTATATACTCCAATGCGTTTCAACACCTGAGATTTTCCCTTCCATATCTTGTATTCCATTGGTTA